TAGACGTCTACAAATATTAAGAGAAAAAGTTTAAAATAGTTATTTGACTTATTTTTGTATTTTGTTTTGTTTTTATTTACGAGAAATATGCTCTATGTTTTGTTATAACTGTTTAGTTAAATTTTAAAAGATCTAAAAAAGTTTTGTTTTTGAATTACATATGTGACCTGGACTACGGAAAGCTACCTATGGTTAGAAATCAAGTTTTCGAGAAAACAGCTGTTAAAGATAACAAGTACTGTCCGTGCGTCACGTTTGTATTTGCGCTTCTACCTTTTCTTTTTTCGCCTAACCCTTGGCTCTCCACCTCTCTTTAGACTTCCATTATACAGTGGTGCTTTTACAATAAATATTTTTGTACCTTATTCAAGTGATTTCCCCTAAATAGCTAATTTTGTGAACGTTGAAAAAGTTGGAATAATACGTGCTGCTTTTCTTATCATTGTATTTTCGAGATCGTGGTTTTTCGTTGTTATGCAGCTAATTTAAAGTTGTTTTAGTTTGTGAAAGTGCATAATGGATTTAGAAAAAGAATTTAAAGCAGTGGATCGTGATGAAGATTACGAAGATCAAGGTGGAGGTGCAGGTGTTAGTGACATAGAAGATGACGTTGTACCAGATTGGTCTTTCGATATGTCTCTTCAGGATATTGACGAAAATAAAAGATCAAAAAAAGCAATTCTTGATCTATTTATAACTTTTTTCGCGATTTTTATAATTCATGTTAAACTTTAAGGATGATTTCCAGCAAAAGTTTCAAACTTAGGAGTCTGCGGTATGTTCCATTAAAAAATACGTTTTTATAAATTTTGATCAAAAAACAAAAATTGATTCTTCCGACCATAGGTACCTTTCTATCGTCCAGGTCACATATAATATGAATTATGCTATATGTATTTATTTTTGTTTTTATGGTCTGTTAATAAAGCTGCAAAGTATAAATTCTATTTTTAATTTTTTTCCTATTTGCCTGAATATCAATATCAATTTTTGACACCTTCCACAGTCTATGGAAAAAGCTTGAGAAAGTTCTGGAAAACCTGGAAAAGTCAGGGAATTTTATACGAATTCAATAATATGAACCCTGGTCTAGTTGTTAGGCAAAACTGACCTACAGCCAGTTTTCGACGGGTGGCATTTTAATTATGCCTACTGAGTGATCGGTGTTGACAATTTCCATGGTTAGTTTGGATTGACTTTATTAAGATTTATGGTGTTTATTTTTTTTTTTTTCGAGTGTTTATTTGGGGACTAGTCTTGGCTTTTTGTCTGTCTTTTTTTATCTATGTTATTATGTGTTAATTTATGAGTCGTCTTACTCGACACTTTTTTCGTTAATGGGAATATTTTGTTTACCTGATTACCAGATGGGTTATTTGGAATTTACTGATGCGAAGTATAGTTTAGAATATTAGTATTATTATTATTAGGTAAATTACTTAGCTGGATTAATTAGACTTAAACTGAGTTGGATTGTCCTTAACGTCCGTTGTTCCTTGGCCTCAACCGTTCGCTTTAGCTTATCGTTGTTAACTAATCCCGATCACACACTTTTTCGACGTTTGCACTTTTGGGTTTAACCACACGAACTTTTCACTATTATCGCATTTTTATTTTGATTTCATTGTTTTTTGTTTTGTTTGTATCCTATAAGTTAACTGATGGATTATTTTACGATTCGTTTTTCTGTGCTTGAGATTGTTTCGCTTTCTCTACTGTGGAGCGTTAGCGTTAGCCGACCGTTGAGACAACCTCTTGACACGGGTTAAATACAACTAATATCATCATATAGATTTAAAAATACTTATTTACTAATATTTTTTTTTCTGTAGAACTAATTCTACAGAAAAAAAATACGTAGGACTTCTTTGTAGGTATACCTATAGGAAATGTCAGTTGCTAAGTTTAACTACAAGGTATCACCTAATAAATTGTCATCCTTTGGGGGATCATAGTACACGCCAAAAAAGAAAGTTTTTCCTCTATAATTTTTACATTAGAGCTACCTACTGTTTTCTAATAAAAAAACAGTTAAGTATACCAGAGCGAAGTTGACACATTAGAACAACTGCGCGAACTTGTCACTGGAGCGGCAGATGAAATACGAAATCATCCGGGTATGATAGCAAGAGCGAAACATCATAATTTTCTACGCCGCTGTCAACTTTGTGTGGATAATAACGGCGGGATATTTAAACATTTATTATGATTTTGTGTAACACTTCAAAAAATAGCTATCAATCGACGTAAAAAGTAAAAGGTAAAATTTAAAATCGACGGGAAAACCATGGAAACCTCGAGATACACAAAAAACAATTAATAACAAAGTAATCAATGATAACACAAATGTAAATGATTTTTTTTATTTCTCTCATCTCCTTAAAGGATGACAACTTATTTGGTGACACCCTGTATAGCAATTGACACATTTTTTTACGTAATGTTTTTTTATTTGATGTATATTTATTTAATGAAAATTTATTATTAACTAGGCTTGATTTACATATATTTTCATGTAATGAGAAATTGATATTAATGTTTTTTTTATTTATCCTAAATTTTAGTACCTAAAATATTATAATTAAAACTATCGAAACGGATTATATACCTAAGCGTAAGTACAGTGTCCTGTCCATGGGCTTGGAATGGCCGTGTATAGAAAAGTTTATAAACGAGGTGCATACTATACTTTTTCTTCGACAAATACTTATTATTATCTTAAAATGATTTAAATCAAAAATTTGTATAGAGCGCCATCTATGAAACAATAGGGGAATCTGTGTGTCACCGTCAAATGTCAAATTTTTACATTTTATAAACACAGATTATAAAGTTTATAAATCGAAATGTATTTCTTGAAAATTGGCAGTTTTTCACAGTGAAAGTAGAGAAAATGCTTTATGAGCACTTTACAGTGGAGTCCGTGCCCGAATTTAAGTTATAGTTTACAGCCGGCGAAATTAAAAGGTCAGTACAATGTTCATATAAACTTTTCAAATATTGGCTTTGAGAAATTATTTAATACTTTTGTATTTTTGTATTGAGATAATAAAATAATTTTCACATTTAGTATTATTTTACAAGAAAGGCACTTTATTTTAACGATTGAATGACATTTGACAACTGTCAACTAGCTTAAAACTAACTTCAGCCCGTGACTAAAAACCTGTTGCTAACTTCAGCCCGTGACTAAAGAGCCATAAAGCCACAACTTGTCAATGTGTATTTAAAAGGTCACTTAGTGTCATGGAAACATGTACGATAAAGGGCGTTTTAAAGGTGGAAGTAGAAAAATATGTTTATTAACCCTAATATTGGTTTCATTATTTTAATTAACCTACCTTAAATATTATAATAAAGTGCTTAATTATCTCAAGTAAAATGTTAATAAAAATCACTAACGAATTATATGTAAACTGAAGTATTTAGTAAATAGAAATAACAAACAACATAATTTAAACCTTATAAAATGTTTAACAAATCCAAGTGCCTTGCTTAATAAATGTAGGTTTTTTAGTATAATAATAGTATATTAAAGAACTAATGTCATAAGACGTCATTTTGTCGCACGCGGACAATTTATAAAACGAGCGACGAAGGAGCGAGTTTTGTAATGGACGATTGCGACAAAAAGGTCTTATGACATGCTATTTTATCAATTTTGTAAAAATTTTATAAAAAAAATTAATTTTATACCTTAAATTTAATTTGGTCGGATTTTACTTTAGACAGTTGGTATCACAGTCATTGGTTTGACAGTTAATGTCAAAATCGATTCGCCATGCCGTCCTTAATTTACTTATTTACAACAAGAGGCTGTTAATGTTAAAGAAGAAAAAAAGGATTTTCTTTAGTGTTAAACAAAATTTATTGCCAGAAAAGTCTGGTAGGTACTAGAAAAATCATAAAATATTATACTTAACCAATATGCAAAATATTATACTTTAGAAGTAAAAAGGTTTCCGGGTTTTAAGCCGCGTATCATTTTAATTCGGTTTGACGTTTCGACAGCCATGTTGCTGTCTTCTTCAGAAAACTTTCAGTTCAGAAGACAGCAACATGGCTGTCAAAACGTCAAACCGAATTACAATGATACGCGGCTTAAAACCCGGAAACCTTTTACTTCTAAAGAAAATAACCGCGAAAGCCTTAGAGATAAAAAAAAATATATTATACTGTTTAAAGTATAGCCAACCTATCAAATCAAAATTTTGTGTCGGATAAAGAATCTCATTACAGGACCGAAAGCGGTGTTATAATGAAGTCATTATGAACGCAAAATAGATAAAATGTATTAAGTATATTTTCTAAAACCATTTACAATAAGTTTAAAAACAATTAAATGTTTCAGGAATAATTTTTATGTATTAAAAAAATTAATTGTCCCATTTGTTATTAACAATTTTAATGAAATGAATTAAAACTTTAAGATTTATGAAAATCCTATTTACGAAATAAATAAACGCGAAATTTTGTATTTTCAATACTTTTGCGCGAAATCTCGCAAACACTTGACATATTTTTTTAATAGTTAAAACTATAGTCTGGTTTAGAATGTTTGAAGGTTATCTTTATATATTATTTATATTCCTACTATTTAATATATATAAAATGGAAAAATTAAAACCTGTATACAGGTTTTAATTTTTCCATTTTAATTTCAGCCCTTTTAAAACAAATCCTTAGAATGGTTAAGAAAATAATTTATAAAAAAATCATAGTTGTGTACTTACATACATTTACGGGATTATAAGTCATATTTTACTAGATATACTAATATTTAAAAATCATAGTAATCTACATAAGTTTATAGGAATATTTTATTTTATTATGTTTAAGTCAGCGGTTTAAAAACAATTTTTTTAATAATTTAAACTAGGTTTTTTTACATTAGCCTTATATACATTTAATTTACCTGATAAATTTATTATTATTATTATAGCATTAATGCTATAAATAGTAAATAAAAATAACTATTTTATGATTGGATATGTATTTACCTTCATAAATTTGTAGCCATCAAAGTAAAATAAATCCGGCACAGCGTTCATACAAAAACCACACTTAAATTACACGATGATATCACTGCAAATGAAATTTAGTCGGTACGCTCTATAGCAACCAACCGAATGGATAAATTTACTTCTCAAAGTAGACTGTTGTTGATTCTCCAATTCTCACTACGCTGCAGATTTCCACAATGACTACTGCCTACGATTAAAAAGCCAGAAAGTGAAAAAATAAATGATTTACTTCCAGATACTAACGGAAGATATAAACATTATGAATGGTTTTATTACCAATTATTATTATTACGTGACATTTCTAAACAATGACGCCAAAACAGAAAATACCGCAATTTTTATAAATTTAAATGTATAAGGTTACTGTTAGTCTAGAATGGGGTTTTTGGGAAGCCACCAGGTCTAGTAATAACATAACATCACGGAGGTTAGGATTTCTTATGTTTTTATTAAAACATTCCTTTGTATATTTGAAATAAGTTATTGTATCTTTTGACACCTTAATATTTTTTTAAAATACAATTGTAAATACATAAAATATTTATAAAAAAATCTACTTACTGAGAAATTACACTTCACGGTGGATAGGTTTTTAAATAGCAAATTAATGAACTTAAACTTTTGAATTATAAAACAGCAACACTCTCATCTGCATATAAATTCTAACTGACACAGGAATCACAAGCATCTATGTCGTAAACAGAGGTTTTTGCTTTTTTAAAATGATTAAAGCGCCATCCATTGCATAAAATTTAAAGCAAAAACAGATTCACGGAGGATAGAATCAATTTTTGCAACACCTACATAAATGGTTATAAAAATTATTTCTTTTAATTTTTAATAATATTTTATATTTGATTTGATTGCTTTGGATGTGTTTAATTTACTTAGTGAACTAATAATTTTAGTATGCTTTTACTACCTCAGATATTACAACATATAGGTTAACCTAGAAAGAGTAACAGTCACGGAGGATAGGTTTTAGACTTTTAAAACATTGTAAAAAATAATTAATTGCGGTTAAAAATCTGGAAGCTGAGCTGTAATATCTACTTAATTATGAAACATCAAAACACAATAAAAGCATTGAGTAAAGAATGATAAAAGTGTAGGTCAAACTCATTTAGTTACACCATCGGGGGAAATTTCGTGAGATTCACCCATAAACATATTTACCTAAATTTATAATAAATTGAAATACTAAATAAAACCAAAGGATATCCCATATTTATTATAAATAAATTCTTTGAGTAAAGGTACAGGAGAAGTAACCTACTACCTGAATTAAAAAAAATTAAGACTCGCAATACATAGGCCCCGGTTTTATCATCACTAGTTAAAATTAAAGTGCAGATTATGTTTGAGTTTCCGTAACTACGACTTCTTGTATTAGTAATGTTGTGGTTATCCTAAAAATACATTTAATATTGTGCTAATTTTAAATATGAATTTATTGAATAAAAATTTTTGTCGACAGAAATGTGAAAAAATATGGAAAACTCTAGATGAAATAATTAATATAAAACCTAGAAAAACAAATAATAAGATAGACAGACTAAAATATAAAAATAAAGAATACACTGAGAGTAAACAAATAGCTAATATCTATAATAAATTCTGTACTGAAGTTGCTAAAGAACTGCAAAAAGATATCATAATACCTGATATAACATTTGAAGAAGTTACAAATAATAAAACTATTTTATGTCTCCTTGTACAATGAGTGTATTACTACTAAAGTTATTAAAGAGATTTATCCTAACATAAAAGAAATCTTCTCAGATGTATAAATAAATGCTTTAAGACTGGCAATTTTCCTGAAAATGTAAAATATCTAAGGTAGGTACTTCCTATATACAAAAAAGGTAGTAAAGAAGATCCAGGAAACTACAGTCCAATATCTATTAGGTGCTTCTATTTTCTCTAAAATTATTATGTTTAAGAGCTAGCATAGGAGGAAAATATTGCTTTTCCTCCCTCGAATAGTTTGATGCCCGACGAGAAGTGAAGGGCATTAAATATTCAAGGGAGGAAACGCATTTTCCTCCTGAAGTATGTATATAGTTTTTTCTATTACCTTTTAACGGTTTTAAGACATTTTAAGCGTTCCGGTTCCTTTTACTAACCCGGTATGGGGCTATAAAATTACGGCAAAATATTAAGTAGGTGTTGCGTCGCCGACGTTATACATAACAAAGCGTTGTCAAAATGTTGACAACGCTTTGTTGCTATAGTATTTTTGGTAATACAAACATAACAGTTTTTATAAGCTGTCAGAATGTTTATCAGAAATTTGAAATTCTTTGTACGTTTTGAAAATGAGATCTAGCGAAGAAGACCTGCCGCAAGATCTTGCTAAAGAGGCAAGAATAGTTGCAATTAATTTCCTTCCTTAAAAATCGAAAGAGCGATATGAAAATGAATACCTATAGTTTGTTAAAAGAATGGTTGGACAAGCGTGGAGTAAATCTTTTTCCTACAAAATTAAATAGGGCTAGACAAGGTACAAAAACTCTTGCTAATGTAAAATTGTTAAAAAAGAAGAGGGAGGAAATTTTTTTCCTCCCGGGGAGGAAAAGTGGCATTTTCCTTCCTCGCTCGGGGGTGGAAAAAGTTTTCTAGTAAGGTAGTAGAAAAAATAATTTTTATTAGGAAAAAACATGGGTAGGTACATTGATTTTTTTTTAAATTTATTTTTTTCACTTTTAACAGCGCAAATAAGGTTATATTTGGCGATTTCCTGTAAAATTCTATATATAGGTTGGTATGACAAAAATATGTCAAAAGTTGTTATTCTGTAACTAATACTTTAAAATTCGTGAAAAAACAAATAAAATTTAACTAACAATTTTCTGCTAGTTAAATATAACTGTAACTTACGAAAGTGCTAATTAAATGCAATAATGAAAAACCGGGCCATAGTAATTAATTAATAGTTAATTATAAAAATCACATTAATTGTACCATGACACACAAGAGAGGAAGATGCAGTCCACACTTTACTCCCCTGCCAGTGATGAAGATCAGTAGAATCCAGAGGTCTGCTGTGGGCATCTCTTGTGTTTAGGCATCTCTACAACTTACTACAACTAGGGTCAGTAATTTTTTGGAAAATGCAAAATAATTTAATAAAATCACGAGACCGCGTAGCGGTCGAGGGGTTTTATTTTTAATTATTTTGCATGAAACTATTATCCAAAAAGAAAAATCAAATAAAAAACTTACTGAGCATAGTTTGACAGATTAAATTTATAGGTTGAGTGATATACGTCTAGATTATTTCTCGAATTAAAGGAAACTATTTGACAATTCATAAAATCTGACGTATGTGTCAAAATTTATAAATATTTTTTTAAAGAAAATTCCATTAATTTAAGGTATGTAATAAGTAATAATTAATATTTCGTAAACTAGATAGATTTTTTATTGGTTTTTAATAAATGTTTGTTAAAACTTGTAAATAACACCATAAAATCGTTAACAAAAATCCAATATGGAGGCTAAAATTTAATCGCTGTTAAATAGTTCTAGTGATTTGTAACGATACACATTACGACATCTATGAGACGATTTTCCTAACTACACGACGTCAAGGAAAGAGTTGGACTAGCAGAAACCTGCAGTTAGACGGAACTCTAACAGATGGCGCTTGGACAGCTGTCAACCGCATATATGTTGTCAACACTTGTTGCACACGGCCTGTGTGAAGGATTTATTTCACACGGCCCCAATTGTTTTTCATCAAGTCTGTCATCAGAATTTCGTCTATAAAACCGCTGCATTTTTCAATGGACAATCAGTCGTCTGGTGGCTCAATTCCAAATGGTATTACCAATTGTGAGCCCGAAAACCAACCACTAAATCACAGAGAACTCTCAGTAGAATATTAACAGTAAATTAACCTGTTTTTAATATCACAGGGCTTTAAGCCATATAATATTAAGCTTTAATAACAGAGTTAATTAAACTGTAAATCCTGTATGCATAAAACATAAACTAACAACATGTATTTTTCCACTAGAGCAGCGTTGCCAACCGTACCATAATTATGGAATTGTACCATAATTTCACTAACTTTTCCATAATTTTTTTAGGCGTACCATAATCAATAATTGTACCATAATTTTGCAACTTTGCGTTAATCCTCATTCAACGGCAAAACGATTTTTTCAGTTAATTCTTGTGATTTTAAAATGTGTAATTTTTGAGTTTTTCATTTTTTATACCACTGAAACCTGACTGTCAGATGTCAGTCACAGAAAAAGAATATATGTCAGTGGTCAGATTCGATGACAGATCTGTCATCACAAGTTCTTTATCTATGCATATGTAATCAAGTAAAGTATTAAATTAACCATGGATACCTCTGACTTATTTGTTGAAAACATTTAAGTTTGAAATATTTTATTTTGTTTATTAAATTAGAAATGAAAATGTGGTGTTGTTTTTTTATATTTTTTTCCTCTATCCATTTAAAAAAACTGCTTTTAGAAGGTGTACCATAATTTTATGAATTGTACCATAATTTTGAGGGTTGTGTACCATAATTTGTTTTCACATGGTTGGCAACACTGCACTAGAGTCCAATTGCAAATCTGCCCTGTCTCTTTGTAGGACTGAAAACCACGCCCGTGCCTGCCAGTTGTCTGTGAAAATCCCTGGAACATTTGCCTGTCCTGACTAAAGGCTATGAAAGAACCTTTGTGTTCATGGTAAATAATTGTAATATAATTTTGTACATACTTTTACATTGGTAAATAAACCAGTTTAAGTTTACTTTTGCATTTTAAATTAAACCACCAACCCTAACTGATTCTTATAAACCCTACATTCTCCACTGAATAAAAGCAACCCGAGGTAGGTATTCCTCTATATCTGAAGAGTCAACCGGAGAGGAACCTTGGTGAAGTACTTAAGGCCATAACCAGCCTAGGTACGACACAGATTTAATCGCTTATTTAAACGAAATTTATTCGAAAATTCAAGGCTTTTGATTGGTTCATATTATAATGAGGGAAATAATCATATTTAAAAGACAAATACTGTAATGGTTTCATAACTTTATACATGTTACATTTATTTATTTTTAAGTTAAAATTTGTATTTTTCAAATTAGGTTGGTTAAGGCAAAAAGCTTTACCAACCGAGGTAAAATGGACGAGAAAACGGATGTTTAGGTAAAGAAATTACAAGTTTTTCGTGGTCAAAAGACAAAACTGGGAAAAGTCTGGTGTCAAGATGAGGCGATAAACTTTGTCAAAGCATGTTCTAGTTTTAGAAATTGGTAGCGCTCATCCCGCCCTCTAAACTCTAG